ATTTCTCTGATCACAAATGCAGACATGGTTTTATGTTTACGCGGCGCGGCGCCATGCAATGCAACGCAACGCATAAAAAGACAGTATAAGTCATTATAATCAGTAATTATGTCCCCACTGCACGCAAAAAATGCCTCGTTTGTAATGGGTTTTAATGTTTTTGTCTCGTCGCTCCGGCCGGGACAAGGCATCACAGTATGGTGAGGGGCGTAACATTTCCGTCACACGCTTGAGGTATTCGGCCAATCACAACGCACTGGATAGATGGCCAATCAGAGTACACCTCGCTTTCAGACCGATGAGCTTTGTAAGAATCTACGCGTTTCAGAAAGGCAGGGCATAGAGGAGAAACAATAATGTACAGTATGTGGAAAATAATGTGTTTTTTTAACTTTAAACCGCATAAACACATTTCATTACACCAAATACACAAAACAATGTTCTTTTTAGCAGCATCATATGACCCCTTTAATCATTTACACACATCACATTATACAAATGCATACAAAGGAGTTTTTCCACTACAAGTGATAAATGTTTTAATAACGATAATTTGAAGAAGTTTAGTAGTTCAAGATTTCAAGTAGGCCTAACCAAAAGTAACACCTGAATGAAGAATTAATATGCAATATATTATAGCCTAGATATTAGTTGATTAAAGCAAGCTTTTGGTTGATATTGCTGTCTTTAGAACAGACTTCTCTGCAGGACGTCTTCTGTGCTGTAGAGCAGTGCTTCCCAACCGGGGAGCCGTGTAAAAAATACTTTTTTAAAGATTTTTAAATTGCTAACATGTTCAAAAAAAGCATCTATTGTATAATATCCATTTCTGATGTCGCCAATAATTAGAGATGCACTGAAATTTCGGCTGCTGAAAATGAGTTCACCGCTCAGGATTCACTTTCACGTGATGTGACTCTGTATTATCTGCTCTATGCGTGTGTGCGCTCCGCTCAGTCGCTCCACTCGTATACCGTTCATGCTCATCGGAACAGCAAAGTCCACTCAATAATTGAGCCGACAGGAAACATTGATGTAGTACAGTATTGTTTCTGTCTGCAATAGTCCTACTGTGCTGTAACAAGGTGTGGTAAATGGGCAACTCTGGTAACCCTGCCCTCTCATTCATTGATCTGCTAACCGTTATGTTATGCTCACGTGTCCTCTGATAGTAATGGCTTTCTAGGATTAAACATTATTTGGATATAATTGGTAAAAAAACAACAACAACAACTAAATCCCTTAAAGGGGTCATATGATGCATTTTCAAGTTTTCCTTTCTCTTTGGAGTGTTACAAGCTGATTGTGCATAGATAAGATCCCTGAAGTTGCAAAGACTAAAGTCTCAAAACTCAAAGAGATATTATTGATCAAAGTTGAGACTCTGCCACGCCCCCCTAAAACGGCTCGTTCCAACACGCCCCCACATATCTACCTCACTATGTGGAAATATTAGCATAATGCCGCCCAAATGTGCACGCAAAGAAAGAAGGCGTGGTTTCAGTAACTGCAGTTAGTGTTGAAGCAGCATGTCAGGGAGACGCTGTGTGTTTCTAGGCGAAAGCAAAAGCACTTTATTTGGCCTTCCGGAAGTAGATGCATTTAGGAATCTTTAAGATGACTTACAACAGAACAGCAATGCATTTTATGGACGACCGTTTCGTGAACCTAGGAGAGGAGGTCATTCTGACTTTGCTATGACAATCTGGCACTTCTGAATCAGCTACTGTTTTGTTATTAGTTTAAGTTTTGCGCATCGTGTGTGCATGCGTGCATGCGTGCGCGCATGTGTGTGAGAGAGAGAGAGAGCGAGAGCGACCAGCTTCATCACTGTGTCTGTAACGCGACTCTGTTCCCCTTTCGAATTATTTATTCAATTCAAAGTTTGAAATCAAGCTATCTTGTGCTACTGCAACAAAATTACCCCTCTGTAAAATCAAAAATACACTGAGTGAGCAAAACTATGTGAGATAGCTAGTTATAATGCTAATTAAACAATGTTTACATATAAATAAAAGCCTACATGAAAATCTGTCAAATAAATTGGTCTCTTCATTAGAAATTAGCCTACTGATTGCCACTATTGATGGACAAAGAAATGTATAATATTAAAAATATCTGTATTAGAGTATATTCTGCCGTTCCTCCCTGCTGTACCGAATATCTATACTTTTCAAGGTATCATATCGAAGTTAGAAATTCAAATATTGTGACAGCCACAAATTTGTTAAAATTTCCAAAGGGTGCCGCGACTAAAAAATGCGGGACGTCCAGCCTCAAGATCAGGACAGTCCGTCAGTCCTTCACATCTGAGACATCTGGACTGTGACGAGATCACGAGGAGGAGGGTGAGTTTACTGTCATAACCCAAAATATAACACAACCTCTAAAGGAAGGTTTGTTTTAAATCATATAGCTGCAACTGCGGTAATATTTCTTTTCTTTTTTCCCCCCATAATTTTAAACTATTTTAGTTTTACACCATTTAGCTTTTTTGCAGTTCACTTAAATAGACTTGAAGTGCGACAACTTAATTTTAAAAATGTACTTACCAATGTTTTGTATCAATGTATAATAATATGACTATAAAATAAAACTAAAACTATAATTATATTGTAATAGGGACCCTTCAAAGACAGCCTCCTTCCCCAACTTCTCGCCGATGGCATACATCCAGAAAATTAGTGAAATTCACAGCGAAGACAGAAAACGAGTCGTACCTCAGCCTTGTAAGTAGACTGCTCTCATCTCATCTCCTCTCATTTACTTGTTTCAATTGATAAGATCTTAGATTCATGTAAAACACAGAGTACAGATATTTCAATAGAACAGACTGAGCTGAATGTTTATTTGAGAAACTGCTTCCATCTGACCATCATAAAGCAATCTTTCTTCTAGCCTGACCATCCCAGTCCAGTTCCTCTAGAGGTGGCTTTGACAGTCAAGGCCAATCAAGGCCCCCGCTGTGGCCACATCATAGAGCTGCTGGACTGCAGGAGCATCCCGACCAGTACATCATGGTCTTAGAGCGGCCCTCGCCCTGCCCTGCGTGGACATTACGGCGAGCTCTTCAGTGAGGCGCTGGTGCTTCATTTCATGCGGCAGGTGATTGACGCTGCAGTCGTTTGCTCTTCCATCGGGACATCAAGATGTCCAACCTCCTGTTCAACACAGAGACCGTGGAGGTCAAACTGATCGATTTCGGTGTTGGGGACCTCCTGAAGAGCTCACCCAACATCACCTTCAGTGGCATGTATTCTCTCTCAAACATGTAGTTTGGGACTTTAACTCTAGTGACCAGTTACAGCATGTCTTAATCCGACGAGACACAGCGAGATATTAACAATGCACTTACAACATTCTCAGAAGAAGAAAAGCCAGAGGAAAGTGAGAAAACTGGTAAAGCAAACTTAGACATGTGACAAACTCTTTCCTCCAGGGACAGCAAATTTCTGTCCTCTGGGGTACTTTGAGAAGGGTGAGTACTGCGGGAAGAAGGCGACGGTGTAGTCGCTGTGTGTGCTGCTGTTTATCATGATGACCAACCGTTATCCGTACAGCAGCGATATAAAACTGATAGATGCTGTTTGGATCGAGCCCGGCCTCTCAGATGGTAAGAACTTCATTACAACAGAGAACAATTGCAATTCGTAATGTTAATCATGCAAAACCAAGGCTTTATAAATAATGGCCTTATGGATAATGCAGGAATCTCTCACTTGTTTGAGAGGTGTGAAGTTGAAGGAAATAATCAGAAATTTCTCTCATTTGTCTGCACAGAATGCAGAGGGTTCATCTGGAGGAGATGCTCTCCCATGACCGGTTCAAGGTTTAAGACAAGCTAAAATGATTTTGAAGGTTTATAGCCATTGGTTTATTTTTCGGCTTTATTTTGGGTTTGGTTTGAATATCAGCATATGGGCATTAACTTCTTAATGTTACTTTTCAATAACCATCTGCTACATTATGAAGTATGTTTGTGTAATTTGTATAATTTCTAATTGTGTTTCAGGTCCTGGTGAAGAGGGTCAGTCTTGTGTCTGGAGGACTGAGACAGGTGCCCCCTCCATCTCTCCAGCTTTAGCGTCTTGCGGGGCTGGCAGGCCTCTGTTGTGTCTGATCCAAAAGTTCCTGCCACGGACAAATGAGTCCTAAAGAAATCAAAGGCACTTTAGAAAACAATGTGAATGCTGCTGCTCCAGAATCTGCTGAGATCAGAGAGGTCAGAGTCACAGGCACAACAGAGGTCACTCCACAAGGTACCTTTCCAGAGCTTCTTGTCCCAGCCTGAGGTTTTCTGCTGCTGTTGCAAACCCTGAAGAGGTTTCTGACATGATTGACCGGGTCACACTGATGCCCGTCCTGTCCACTACAAAGGTTCCTCTCATTATGGGAAAGAACAGCAAAGTAGTTCCAGTCAAGGCTGTCCCAGTGTTTGCGGTCGTAGCCTCAGCCAGAGCTGGTGTTCAAGGCTGCTTCAGTCCCAGAGCTCCTCTCTCAACCTCCCTGCTCCCAGACGTTCCTGCTAAAGCTGCTCTGGTCCAAGAGGATTCTGTCACAGCTGCATCAGAGGATCCTCCCACTACCCCTGTGTTTCCTCCATAAACACATTACACCTGTGAGCCACATTAAAATTACTTTGTGTTTATGAAAATGACTAAATTTGTTGTTTTTATAGGAAAACATATGATAATCTGGAAATATTAGCCACTCCTTCAGTTCTAGAGGTCAGCATTCTGAGCGTCTCTAACTGCAGTATGGTAAAGGTGAGTGACTGGCCCAAACAGACTCACAGCCCCAGTGTTTCCTCCATAAACACATTACACCTGTGAGCCACATTAAAATTACTTTGTGTTTATGAAAATGACAAAATTTGTTGTTTTTATAGGAAAACATATGATAATCTGGAAATATTAGCCACTCCTTCAGTTCTAGAGGTCAGCATTCTGAGCATCTCTAACTGCAGTATGGTAAAGGTGAGTGACTGGCCCAAACAGACAGGATGCTCGCACTCTTGAGTTTTCTCAACACTGACCATTTAATGAAGATTAATCGCAAAGCCTTGCTTGGCGAGTCTATTCTCAGTTCCTCTCAGGATTGCATACACCAAGTGCATTTCTCACAAATGATTTACAGCCATGCCACTCCCTTTGTATCTTCTCTATTAGCTTTTTTTATTATGCTATATAATACTGTATATTAAAAGAGAAAAATTATTTTGTCTCATTTCATTTGCACAGCAATATATTCAGTCATGTCTGGCAACTGACAAATATGTATTCAGCATCATTGGAATATAATATAAACTTAATGTCTGTTGAATGCAGAAAAATATATTTTAAAGAATGTGTGTAACTAAACAGTTGCTGGCACCCATTGACTACCACAGAATTGTTTTTACATACATGCGAACATGTAAGTTGGTAAAGCAGACTGAACAGACAGTTATTTCATAAACATGGATTACAGCCAAAATTCCCCTTTTGCACCAAGAAAATCGATGTAAACAATATCTCAAAAGCTTTAATTTATTGCAGTGTCATCCATGAACCACAAAATGTCTTATAAAATAAAATAGTAAGCATTAAACGAATAGATAGCTAAGAAATACGCGGTGTAATTTTCAAACAACGGGGCCAGATAATTTCTTGTAAACCTTTATTTTGATACACACTGCTAAGATCAATATATATATTGGTACATATTAATGACAAGTAGTTCTGCAGAACCGGAATTGTTGATTCTCGAATGACGTTCCTCAAAGCCAGTCTAACGCTTGTTGTCAGTGAAATATTACCTAAAAGGTCATATTACAAAAAAAGCAAAGAACATGTTTTCATCAAAAAGACACTTAAAAATAAAAAACTTTGGTCTAGTCCCCTTCTGTGCTCTTATCCACCTCTCCTGAAGAAGTCGGTGGGAATCTTTTAATCAATTTACTTACTGTTGACCCCTATCTTAACTAAAAGCTCTCCTTCATTGAAGAGCACAAAATGAATGTTCTCGAAGAAGGAAACCCAGTGCTCATTTTTGTCTTTTCACAGAAGTCATGGAGAAACCTTGTTGTAGGCCTTTTAAATGATTCATGGCAGCTTATAAATCCCCAGCTCTCTGAACAGTCCAACAATTCTAAACGCTGAGAAAAAGAACAGACTTTTTAAATACAGAGAAAAGGATTCCAAAACTAAACAATGCTTTTGTAACACTGATGAAGCAGCATCTTCATCCTACCAAAACGCTGGGACGTTCCATTATAAACAGCTAGTTTTGGGAGCACACTGGCCTCATCCAAACCCAAATCTCACCCACCCCGAGACCAAATCTCTCTGTGACTCCTCTACTATCAGTTCAACAACTAAGAGCGGCCTAGTTTAGGCTCATGGGCTTTTAATGTTCCCACAGCATCCTTCACGGCATGGTAGATGATGTTCTTCACCTGTGAACGATGGAAATACAACATTAAATCAAGCATTTATGCTCACAGCTCACCGCAAAATCTTGACATTTTACTTTGGTGCTCCGCAGAAGAGTTACATCAGGTTTGGAATGACATCTAGAAATACCTGTAGCTTGTCTTCATGGTTAGTGTGAGTGGTGGAAAGGTGGCGGAACTCCTGCGTCAGTCTAAAACAGTGCTTCACGTGCTCAGGAGAAACAAAGTCCTCTGCGACCTTGATACAGCTGTACAGGTTGTGCACCTGGGAAAACCAAGATGAGAAAATGAGTATTTGTGTGTCAAGTAGGTAAAATGTAGTTAGAATGACCCAAAATTCAATATATAGCAGCAAAAATGCCCCTGTACGAGTTTTTGTCTTGTATTTCTATGATATAGTTAAGCAATATTATGAGCAAGTGCTGTCTTTCCGAAGTTCCGACTCATTGATTCATTTATTAAAGTCCCCATGAAATCGAAATGAAAGTTTTTTGGGTGTTAGTATCAATATGTTAGTCTTAAGGTTATCTATAAGGCAGTGTACTCCAAAACAGTGACAAAATTTGCATTTAGAAGATATAAGCATTCAAAGCTTGCAGTTCGTCACTTCCGCCAAAACGGCTCAACGATTTTTTTGACGTCACATCGTACTTCAGCTTCTCAACAAACTTTCTGTCCAATCAAATGCTCTCTAGAATCCGAAGCGTCCGCCCCCTACACTATAAAATAGACGCTGAAGCCGCGGCTGAAATCGGTCACTTGTCCACAGAATTAGTATTTTCTGTACAGTGAATGGCGCGTAGTGCACTATATAGGGGACTATGAACGATTCAAACAGTGTAAATATGCTTTCCATTGAGGAAAAAAAGAAGTCTGGTCACGCTAACCACCGCACCACACACACTCCAGAGACACGATAGCACGGAGGGGATCACATGCGCGAATCGGCGCAGACCACAAAATGTATCAGAGCTATTTGAATTCTACACAGAATGCTATATTTTACAGCAATATGGATGAGATTGTGGCTGGCATACCCTGTCAAATGCGGCTTTACGGAGCTCAACGGCTCTAAGCCCAAGCTGTGATATAAACGAACGCTGCTTGATATGTCCCACCCTGTCTTCCTGTTTCAGTTCAAATGACGTCAACACAGAGTAACGTGTTTGCGTGTTTCTAAGCCTTTCAGGGGACCTTTAAGGCAGTATATCTTGCTGCTACCAACTGGCAGTTTTGGATTAATCTTATAACAATAATTATTCAATTGTAAATGCAGTGTAAATATATCTAAATAATGCTTTAGGTGCAGCTTATGCAACTCTTCTGCAGTGAAAAATGCATTTTGTTTCTATTTATTTGATTTGATTGGTATCAGCCTATATAGTCCTTATAAAGGTAAAAAAAAAGCACCGGAAATCAATTTAAGGTGGCAAATATCAGCCCTTATTGAAAAGGTTCCAGTACAAAAAAACACACACTGTTAAATATCGTCTAATTATTGTTATCTACAAAATGCAAGAGTTATTATTGAGGTATTATTTTTCTGCATATTGCACACCCCTAGTGTCAAGTACACGATTTGGAAGTACTGAACTGTGATGGTGGACATCCTCTCAATAACCAACCTGATGTGGCGCTCCAGCTGGGATAAACACGGCATCTCCCAAAAACTGCACAATGGACCAGCCCTGGACTCCATACTCCTCGTACAGCCTGCGGCGCAGCGTCTGGTCCAAGTACCAGCTCTGGTCGTGGATAGGATCATGGTCTGGTGGGTTCTCCTGACCTTGTTCCTCTCCAACCTGCAATTAATAGGTGAAATGAACTTCAGACATTCATAGCGTTTTACAACACAGAAAGCAGAGAACACTGCCCAAATCTGAAACCTTGTCTTTATTTGGGATAAACTATTGCTAAAGCAATAATGGTCCAAGTCATCCTTTCACCTTGCGCAGGAGCTCGCGGATCTTCTCAGCGTCTTTGGCGGCGTAGATGTGCCAGAGAGCGCCAGGTTTCTCCTTTGCTTCATAGACTCTTCTCTTAGTCATGTCATCCACATCTCCCTCTTCAATGGTCTGCATCACCTCTACAGTAATAACAGGTCGGTCAGTAAACACACACACACACACACACAATCATAACTTGTGTAAACGTCTTTATCTTTTTCATTAAACTAGAGCTGAACTACTGATATTGATTGTTAGAGCCTCCTTTGTTTCTACACAGGGTTTCCAAGCATTGGGCAACTACACTATGACCATCAAAACAGAGAGTAGGTATTTCATATTTTAAAGTTTAATAACTGATTATAATTACTAAGCAATAGCGTGTATTTTTCCTGCTGTTTAGGACGGTCACAGACACAGATGTGACCAATCTCAGTGATGTCGGTCAGACAGGACATTTTATGAGTGGCATTGCAAGAAATAATCATTTATAGGACATTCAGTTACTCACTCAGGTGCAAAACACACTTAAGCATAAACTTAAACATCGAGCAACAGAGAAGGTTACGAAAGATTACAGAGATAGTTCACCCCAAAATTACAATTCTGTCATTAATTATAATTACTCACCATGATGTCGTTCCAAACCTGTAAGACCTCCGTTCATCTTCGGAACACAAATTAAGATATTTTTGATGCATTCTAGCTCTCGGACCCTCCATAGAGAGCAAGGATCCGAACACGATCAAGGCTCAGAAACGTAGCAAGGAGATCGTTAAAATAATCCATGTGACATCAGGGGTTCAACCGTAATTTTACAAAGCTACGAGAATACTTTTTGTGCGCAAAGAAAACAAAAATAACGACTTTATTCAACAATTATGTATGCAGATACGTCGTTTACGTTCAGATCAAAGCGTAAACAACGTAAACAGTGTATCCGCGTACGGTGCTGCTGACACAGAACAGCATACATTGTTTACATATGTGATACTCTTTAAAAAAAATAATAATAAATTGGCGCTACGGTGACGAATTGTTGAATAAAGTCGTTATTTTCGTTTTCTTTGCACACAAAAAGTATTCTCGTAGCTTCGTAAAATTACAGTTGAACCCCCGATGTCACATGGATTATTTGAACTATATTCTTCCTACGTTTCTGAGCCTTGATCGTGTTAGAATCCTTGCTGTCTATGGGAGGGTCAGAGAGCTTTCGCAATGCATCAAAAATATCTTGATTTGTGTTCCGAAGATGAACGGAGGTCTTACAGGTTTAGAACGACATGAGGGTGAGTTATTAATGACAGAATTTTCATTTTTGGGTGAACTATCCCCTTTAAGTACATGCAATGTGGGAAAATTGTTGGTCATTTGTGCAATTTCGCAATGTGTGGTATTGCCAATCTACCAAACACAAATAATGTTTTGACTTTTTGTCTTAAGAAGGAACTGGACAACAAGAAATTTGAGATTAATTGCAATGAAAATTTGAATCTATTGACAGCCCTAACTAATCAAGCAAGCAAACGGAGCAAAGAGGCTGAATAAGGGAGAAGGCAAGGATCAATCCTGCAGGGTTTGCTCAGGAGTTGTAAAAAGAATATACATCAAAAATATAATAATCACAATAAACTGCTCCAGTCTCCCAACACATTTTTGTATGGGGGAAAAATATGACCGCACAGATTCCTGGAATAAAAAAGGTGCCAAATTCCAATTCACGTTAAAAGAAGGAATGACAGGATATGAAGGTCCATCACCAACCACTGAAGAGCATGAAAAAAATGTGCTTTCCTATAGCAAATAAGAACCATTTAAAGGGGTCATAATGTTAACCTAAAGTTGAACTCCAAATGTTCAACAAATCAGTCTGATTGTGAAAGAATTGTTCAGTTTAAGTTATTAACTAGATTAACCAGTTAACTGAAACTAACTAGCTCAGAGTGATCCGTTTGATCCAGTTGCAGTGGTTCTCAAGTGAACAGCTCACTGGAAGGTCTGGGTCTGTTCCTGAGACGAAGGCTATAAACGGCTTCAGAAGACTTGGAATATAGTGCTACAAGGCCGTGACAAATTAAGCCAATGTTGGGCCGTCATTGAGTATCAGTTGGCCCAGTTTTGTGGCATCTTCTGCAACTTTAGCATTAGTCGGACCCCCGTCGGCAGCTTTTTGACAAGTTGAGCATGTTTAATCGGTGGCGAAGCCCATCAGTAAGAGAAATCACTGTTCAGCATAGTGACCCAGAGCACAAGAACAAAAAACTGAAGATGCTATCTCATCTGTGATGATTTTCACTGAACCTGTCTGGTGTAAAAATGGAATAGCAAACTGGTGTGCTTTGCTTACAGTGTGTATGTAATGTGCGCAGTCCTAGCTCTTCCGGTTTGTAGGGCTGTCAAATAAAAACTTCGAATTTCGAAAATGCGTCGGACTTAAAATAAAAATCCACATTGAATTGTAGGTGTGCGTTAAGGCAGCCTTCTCAGTGGCACACGAGATGTGATGACGATGTAATAGCATTTGAATGTTTTTGTTAGCCTATCCAGTTGAACCCACTAGATCCGGTGCTGCGGAGAAAATATTGCGGAAAACGAGAACATCTTGTTTACGTCAAAACTAAAACCAAGCCGGTCACACAGAACGCATATTTTGCACATTTTCTATCACCGTTGCAGCTGCATGTTTAGAAAGCTATGTAAAATTAATGTAAGTTAAACTTTTAAAAAACATGTCTCGAGACTTTATGGCGGGTTTTTTCCCCCCATCCCACTGCATCTCATGTTTTTAAATGAAGAAAGTACTCTGTGTGATTGGCTTTCGGCCCTTGTATTAAACTATGCATACATACATGATACTGTTTTGTTTATAGTTGTTTAAGCAACTTAATTATATTTGGTTTATAAACATTATGCACTTTTTCCACAGATAGTCATGTTATTTTATTACTTTGAATAAACGTGCACTGGTAATATTTTGCTCGTTGCGCCCTCTTGTGGCCTCCGGAGAAAAGCCAAAAGCTTTTTTCACCCTAACTGAAATGATGCCTTTTAAATTGGAATTTAATTCGAATATTGATAATAATCAAGTACAAAATTCGAATTTCGTTTTTCAGCCATTTTGACAGCCCTACCGGTTTCGTCTTCAAACAAACGCATGCAACTTTTATTTGAAAAGAACCAAAGAAATTGTGATTATATGACCCCTTTAAAATAACCATCAAAACATCTGAAGGGGCATCAACGCAGTGAGATGTAACAAAAAACACTATGGTCACTATGTTTCAGTGTCCTGGAAAACTCTGAATGGAGTTTACAAACTGGTGGACAAATTGGTATTTTATAATGAACCATCAACATAAATAATATTACCATTTAATGTACAGAGTAGCAAGAGATGGGATAAAGCAATGGGAGCGAAGAACAAGAGAGTGGGAGGGCATGCCTTAGGTGAGACAAATGAAAAAACTGCACAGACCTTTGAATCCAGCGAGGTCTGCTTCTGTGAATGAGAAATGGTGCCACAATCAAAAGTAGCAAGACCCCACGAGCACAGGCCATCCTAAAGGCCTTAACTGCGTCCGACTCACTGGAACTGTGAGCGGTTCGGACACTATAAGCCTGTAGCTGGATTGTTTGTTAAAGCTTATCATTTTTTTTAACTATGAGAAACCTCAGTCAGAGCACACGCCATATTTAATCGATACCAATGAAAATGCAGCTATAAGGGAAAGACATTCAATATGTCATACTGATCGACCTTTAGCTGTACGCCATCAAATTAAATACGGCTTCTGCGCTTACTAAGGTCTATAGGGTGCCATGTTGGCCTCTAAGAAACTACCTCTTAAGGGAGGCTTGCAATCATTATCCACTGATTTAGTTAGGGGTCTGAATACTTTTGCAAGGCACTGTATCCATTTTTTCTATATTAATGCCAGTTTCCTATCAAAAGATTTCATCTGTGGTTGGAATCTCTATCATTCAGACATTAACTAAT